TATTTGATAAAATATTGAGAGATAAAAGTAATTCAATCTAAATAATTTTTTTCTAACTTATTTGAAATCATATACATTGATTATCATTGAATAATCATTTTAAATAATAAAAATTTTCTTATGTTGAGAATATTGATACTAATAGCATCAATTAGTAAATTGTAATTAACATTATAATTATATCTATAAATTGTAATTATATTATTTTTTATTTTTTATAATTTTCTTTGCAATTGTATAGAAATTATAATCTAGTTGTAAAAGAAATCTATTGTATATTACACGAAATTAGATGAATACGTACAATAACAAAATTTGTTTAATTAACACATTTGATATATTTTATTTGAATATTTTTATTGCAAAATTATTCAAATATTTGGATAGCTTATTTTTTATACTAAAAGATTATTAATAAATTCGAGAAACTTTCGTAATCGCGCAAATACCGTAAAAAAATTCTTTTACATAATATAAAGGTTATTAAATAAAAGTGAATCAAGAAAAACACGATGTTAACCCAATAATTAGATATTAGCTTTTTACGTAAAATTTGTCGTTTTTTTAATATTATAGAAAACACAAGTATATTCGAAAATAAAATATTGCGAAATATTAAACATTATCAATCATGCGGAAATTAAAATCTGTAAAACAAAATAATTTTCTTTGATTATCGTTTTTAATTAAATGTATTTCGAGAATTTCGCATCGCGTTAAATATTTATAGATTACGATTTATTGATTTACGATTTTATAATAAATTATATTGCAAATAATTGCGTTCTTTTCACGTTTTTGGATGTGATCGCTGTCTCGATGAAGAAGCCTTATCGCTGTCCCTCATGTCAGGTGAACTCTAGCAAATGCGCAGTTTGTACTGGCGGAGAATCGAAACGATTTTCATCGAGGAAAGTTATTTCTCGCCGGTTTTTGTGAGATCTATCCGCAACGCTTAGTTCGGTGCCTCATTGAAAATTGAAAGTTTCTATTACAGAGTAGGAATTAAACCCAGGTTTTCGTGGCGGTTCCTGGAAACAATGTTTTTGGCAGTGATTTAACGACAATCACCGTACATTGTTTGAAATCGAATTACAAAATTCATTATACTTTGAAAGAAGATATATTTTCTCTTTTTGTTAAAAATGTTCTTCCATTAATATCCTCCTATTAATATCACTATTATTTTAATAATGAAAATATTTAATAATAATTCAAAAATGGATATAATGGATAAAATTCACTTTTTCAAATATAAATTTAATTTAATAAGTTTTTGCGCAAACTTTTTTGTGCAAAATTTTGATTATTTGAAAAATTATGGTTACAAACAAGTATATTTTATTAATTTTGAATTAATTTTATTTTTGGTTTCTTTTAAGAAATCACTTGCAGGCTCTGGACGTTCCACTATCTCAGTATATTACGTTTATTTTAGATAGAAGACGAGTATATATGTATATATAATAAAATACATGTGCACAAATTGTAATATATTTGCAAAAATCCTTTTTTTGTATGATTCTTAATGATATATTAGAATGATGCATGATATAATATGTGTGATATAAAATGTGTGAGTAATTAAACAATTCGAGACAAATCGAATGGGTACTCTGATATCAATAAGATGCCTGCAAATTATTATTACGTGTTAACTGTTAAATGCAACAGTAAAATTAATTTCTTGATAATCTTTTATTTGATGTTGCTAAATAATATTCAAATTGACTTTTTTTTAAATCTTGTTGTTATCGGATTTGATTTGTCTCGAGCACATTTGGTACCCTAAAATTATTACTATTCACACATTTAATTAAGCAACAATAAAAGCGCATGTATTTCATTTTTCCTAAATATACTCGATTGTAACATGTATATAAAAATCATTATATCCAGTCATTTTTTAGTAAAAAAAGATATTTTTTAAAATGGAAGAACATGTTTTTTTACGCGAATTTTAATCTTATATATTGAGAATGATAATAAGGGTAACAGTCGTTAATTCGCTGCCGAAATCACTGTTATCAGAAACAATCAGGAAAATCGGGGATTCGTTCCTTCCTGTAGCGGGACTTTTGGAGTTTAATGAATCACTTAACTTTTCGTTGTGGATCGATTTCGCGAAATCCAAAATAGAAGAAATAAGACAAATTGAAGTCGCTTTCCACTTTTAAGATCTTTCTTCTCTCTGTCAGATATTAACCAGCGTGTCACTCGGCAGAGGGATTTTGATCTGGTTTAATTGTTGGGCCAGTTATCCTTCATTGAACGTGGTGATAACGCGATTATTTTAAAAATTATTAGAGTTTAGCCTGTTTGCAATTGTCCGTGAAACAAAATTGTATATTTTACTTTTGATCGCAAAATTTTTTTACATAAAATTGTATATGAAAATAAATCAAGCATTAAATTCTGCATTCGCGTTTGATTTTTTACGTATATATAATTGCAGATTCCTTGTATACTGTAATTGCAGATCATATGAAATGCGCCTCTAATGCTGCAATATTTTTATTATTACATAAAATGATAATAATTATATTGCATGTACGCACGTTCCGTCGAGATTATTATAAAAATTATATGGATTGTAATTAAATATTACTATTATTGTCAATTTATTTACTTGTCATATATATTTGTAAAATTCAAATCGCGATTTTTTTCTCATTTAATTGTTGGGTAACATCGAAACTTAGTTTATCTTTTCACGATAATATTTCTTTCAAATATTTCTTTTAGAAAACCTTATAAAATGTATTAAAATTCCGGGTACTCTTTCTTATTAAAAAACATAATCGATAAATTTATTAATGATTTTTTTGGTTGCGATAGACATCAACTCTACGCTATTCTCAAAATTTCTAATCAATTTTACATTGTACGTATTTCGGATATATTCGTGTAATATGATAAATTAATTTATATATGTATTCTATATAATAATTTTATGTATCGTATTATGTATAATGTATTTTTTTATTATTGTTATAATTATGTATATTATATACTATATATTTCCAACAAGAAATTTTATGTATTAATAATTTTTTGTGTTAACAGTAATGAAAAACTTTGTATTAAAAATTTTATATATTATGTATTATAACACACACACACACACATATATATATTTTGTTATTGTTATAATTATGTATTATATGGACTATGTATTTTCAATTTAATTATAATTGATTATATATATTAAATGAAATTGTAATTTATATTTTTTAATTATTTATATTATACTCCGCGTGTATAAAATATTGCATTTTATAAAATATCTTCAGAATGAAATATTATACAATAAATCAATTTTTATTCAAGATTGATTCTATTGTAATGTTATAAATTACTTTTACACATAGTTTTGTTATAATTTTCATAGTATAATTTTAATAAAATAATCATAGTATAATTTGAGTAAAATGATATTATAATGTTATAAATAACTTTTACACATAGTTTTGTTATAATTTTCATAATATAATTTTATTAGTATAATTTGATGCATAATATTTTATTATAATAATATGTAAGTCCACACACAAGTGCGTTAATGCTCTAAACATCAAATTATCTATATTATTGAAAATATTTGGATAAATTTGAATATATTTATTTGATGTTGATAGCATCATCAAATAATAAATATATAATTATACTATAATTATAATATATATCTTATAATATATTTTTATTTGATTGCAAGTTATATGTAATTATACACTACAATATTTTGTGTAATTATATAATATATATTTTATAAATTCTTTGTATTATATTTTCTATTTGGAAAATTTGAAAAACCACCTACACCCTTTTAAAAGAAAATAAAAATAAAATAAAAATTGTTTTCCTCCTCATTGTATCTCCACCTTAACGAAGGCCCTTGCCGGGTGAGGAGGTTTGAGTACTCTTATGATCCTAAGAGCTATGCCGGCGGTAACATAATTACCAGTAGGGTCACCCATGCCGGACAGGTCAAAGGGAAAGAGTCAGACTAAGAGAGATACAATAATTATATATGTGTGTGTGTCTATATATATATATGAATATACATTATATAAATATTCTTTTGAAAAAAAGATAGAATAATCAAGAAAAGGAAGAAAAGGAGAACTGAATGAAACATCTCTCAAGAATGCTTGAGGACACAGAAGAAATTCCGATGGACTTCATAAAAAGAAAGAAGACAAGAGTTCTTACGATTTTGCGACGAGGGAATACGACAGTTCATTACAAGACTAGAAGAAGAGATGCAATTGAATAGGAATGCATAGTAATTACAAATAAAAAGATAGCTTGCAGTAGTATAAAAATCGTTCATAATAATAATGTTTTGTAATTATTGTGTATTTACTATATATTATATTTTACTATTATGTTATAATTTATAATTTAATACAGTGTATTATATAAAGCATTAAGTATCAAAATTATGAAAACTGTAATAAAATAACATAAAAATATTTACTATAAACATTTGAATTTTCTTTATATTTTATATGAAGCAAGAAACATTTGGAATATTTTGCAAAATCTATATTTTTCGAGGATCTTAATACTTTATATAATTCTTATAGATTCTTCGGAGATTTATGATTAATTTAATTTTAAGATTTAAGAAATTTATCCTTATAAATAATAAATATTCTATGTTATTTATTGTTGTAAATTACTAAAGAGATATCCAAATTTATTATTTATTATTATAATTATTAATATATTTCAAAAAGGAAATTTTAAAGATTCCAATTGAAAGTATAAAAGGAAATGTAACATTTCATAAATCCATTATTTTTAAAATAGCTAGGCTAAAATCTTTATTTTAATTAAGCTTATGTTTACTACTTTCATATGCTTTATTAAAATATTGTATAGTGATGATTTTTTGAATACTATTCTGGGATGGATAAAAAAACTGGAGATATATAATACAACATTAAGCGTTAAAATAAAACTATGCAAGTTTCTCGGATTAAATTTTTAGACAAAATTCTTGAGATTAATTATATTGTTTTTGATATTTTTTGCGAAACTTCCTTTATGGTCAAATTTAAATTTTCTATTTTCGTCGCAATATCATTCGGCGATTTCGCGATGCATTCGATTGATTCTTGATGAGATTCGCTTTGTAAAATTTCATTTGTCTGACTACTTATTTCGTTCCACGAGAAAACGATATCCTCTTCTCGACATAATCGAGAACAAATAACAAATCGGGCGATAAGTTTTTCTTGATATGTACCTGCGATGAGGTAAACTTGTCTCCTTGCTGTTAGACGATCTAATAGTTTTTTTGTCAAACTGTTATCACCCTAAAATAAAAGTAATTTTCTTGCAAAAATTTTCGTAATAATTAAGATGATTTAAGTTTATTATAAAAATTATAATAATGTTATCAAGAAAGATATTTAACTTATCATGATATAATTGTGTGTATGTGAATTATGTGAATTAATTAGGTATTTCTCAAAAACCGATTAATTTTAAAATAATTTTTCAATTCATGATTATTAATGAAAAATCAGTGATTCAATTAATTAAATTTACCTTGATGCGGAAACAAACGAGACCCATAACTGCGTCCGTAACAATTTCGAATCTATTGTCCGATCTGAGATATTTCTCAAAAAGCTGTGCTAATTTGATAGTATGTCTAATGTGCTTTTGAAGTCCTTCAACACCATAAAGTCGCATGACGAACCATAATTTTAATGAGCGAAATCGACGACCCAAAGAAATTCCCCAATTCTGTATCAAAAGATTCAAGAATTATAAGAATGAAAAATATATTTGTATTAAAAAATATAAAAAGTAATCTATTTGTAAAGAAAAAATATTTTATATATATAAGCAAAGTATACAAAATTTTACTCTGTAATCGGGTGCGAGTCCTTCTTTATCGTGAGCTAGATATATTCTGTCCACACTAAACGCTTCTATAAGTCGTCTCGAATCTTTAACCCTAAAAGCAATAAAAAAATATAGAATAATAATGCATTAATTTTATATAATAAAATATATTAACTTACTTTGTACATCATAAACTGAAATGCTAATTTCACTTAAAATTTTTTATTTTAATTTTACTTTATCAAATTAAAAATGTGCTTTTATATTCAATTTGATTTTCAAAATTTGTAAATGTTATCTTTTTTAAATCTTAATATTACATTATATACATATATGTAATATATATATATATATATATATATATATATATAAAATTTCTTAAATTAAATTTCTCTTAAAGTTTATACAAATTTAAATAAAAATTAAAAATTAATAATTTATTTAAAAGGAAGAAATGTGATAGAAAATGCTTATATAAAGATTTAAGAAGTCTTTTTCAGACATGTATATAATTGTACTATATTACATATATATAATTATATTATACATATAAATAATATAATTGAGAGACTATATTACATACCACATTACAGACGCATCGAAATTGGTTAGCAACCATTTATGAGCATTTACATTAAATGAATCTGCATATTGAACACCAGACATCAAATGACGAAATTCTGGACAAATAAATGCTGCACCTATAGCAATTTAATTAATGAAAAAAATTTTTGTTAGAATATTTTTTTGTAATCAATACAATCTATTTGTAATCAACACAAGTCCAGTATGGCATCCACATCAATACAATCTTAACTTAATTAATTAAATAGAACACTTAATTCTCTTTCTCTTTAATAATATTTTACAATGATTTGAAATGATTGTAATATATTAGATGTATCGAGTATGAAATATATGTGGATGCTAATAAGAAAAAGATGGTAGAGAAACATTGACGCGAGCATTTACCAGCATATGCAGCATCAATATGAAGCCAGATATTATATTCTTTGCATATAGGTCCTATCTCATCAAGCTTATCAAATGCACAAGTGCCAGTAGTTCCTAAAGTAGCGACGACGTAACATGGAATAAGGCCTTTCTCCAAATCATCCTGTATCGCTTTCTTCAAAGTTTCACCACGTAGAGAGCACTTGTTGTCTACTGGTAACAGTCTTATTAGCATCGATCCTAAAATTCCTGCCTTTTCCACCGAAGAATTCGACTGATCTAGAATTTTGCAAAAAAATATGAATAAATCGAAATTAAATTACAATTATTTAATAATAAATATGTTGATAAACGATTTTAAAGTACAAACTAAAAAATTAAAATTGATTATAGAAATTTTAGGATAAGATAGTGGAATATTTACTAGAAGTATATGCGACTAATTTAGTCTTAATGATATCCTCGTTCAGTTCTGGATGAAGAATTTTCATTTGTCGCGTTGTATATTCTTTCGCGGCCAATAGACATATGAATGTACATTCACTTGCTGATCCCTGTAAAATTAATAAAGTTAATAAATTAATCACAAATTTATATCCAAGAGACAAATTCAATTAACTATATTATAATATTTTTATTAAAATATTTTTATTACAGTACATTAAAGTTAACAAAAAAATATTACAAGTCATCCAAAATTATCTTGTAACTTTTGTATTACTACTAATGTTTTTTTTATATTTAACAATCAAAATATCAAAATAATCAAAATATGGCAAATAATTTATTGAAAAATATTAAATAAATTATATTACAGTTATTAAAAATTATTAAATTCATTTGAGTTTAATATATATTCAATCTGATGATGTATAACTACTTATGGATTTAAGAATGATCCTTATTTAGAATATGCGAAAAGTTTTCGTTTTAAATCCTGGATCAGCCTATTTTTTTC